ATATCCGATCAACATAAATATGCCGCCGAAACATTAGTAAATGAATGTTACTGATCAAAAAGTCGGCAAACAGTAGGCGAGGTTTCATGCATGCAGATTACAATAATTTCGAGCTAAATATTTCCATCTTGTATTTTCCCAGTGAAAACTGAGTGTCATTGTATATATGGATTATATCCAAATTAATCGGCAAAAGCAGCGGCCATTTCATCGCCAATTTCGATATAATTTGACACAGAATTCCAATTAGGAAAGAGAGATCATCTTAAATGAACTATAACTTATGTGCATATTATACTTAGGCCTACTAACTCAATAACTATTCAAAACATAGGGTTATTCTACATTTACGTAGCTAACATGTACAGTTGGATGCGTACATTATCGAGCCAACTTTCGGCTAATGATTAAGAAGAGAAGTAGGGACGCCGGGATTGGTGGGAGAGGGGCAGCCGTCCCCCTTGCCCCTTACCAGGAGAGGCAAGGGGGCAACGGTGCCCTTTATATTTAAAGGATCACTTTGGCAAAATAGCGAATTGTCCGAAATGTTAGAGCAATTCTTTGACGAATTTGCTTCAGAAAACGCATGAAATGCAGTCATTGCACGAGCTTCAAGCAGAGCACAATCGCCTGACGGAATACCCTCTCACACCCCTATCATCGAATAAATAGAAAACATGATTAGGCGAAGTTCAACTCCCGATGTTCTGCAAACATCTCTTAATATATATCAATTCAAAAGTGCCGCCATTTCACGAAAATCTGACCCCCTTGCCTTCACATCGTTCCGGCGTCCCTGAAGAGAAGTACAGAAAATATAATTCTACTCACCGAATTTACGAATTTTATTAACACGATGTTTTGTTGCTTTTGATTATTAAGTTTTGAGACAACCTATCAAGTTGACAGCTGAAACACAACTGCAGTGTCCTCTTTAATTTGCGCATTATAACTGCGAGATCATTAACAATTTAGATTTATCAGTGAAAGAAAATTTGCATGTATCGATTGACTTATTGGCCTGATATCAATATGTCAGTTTGTCACAACAATGCAGCAGGGGGTCTATCATAGTTTTGCGGAAAAGACGAAACCTAAACCCTAAGCTAGACTCAATTTATCCACACTATATACGAGGATACTTATTTAGATCTTGTATTTGTTGTTTCCACTCCACTCTTATAGGCAGTATAGATATATAATTTATTTAACTCTTTCAGAGTTCTCAACGGGAAGAAACCCAAACTAATTTAAATTCGCAGTTAATGTTGTTTTTAAAGTGGATACTACTTCTTTCAGTGCTAAACTGCTTTTCTCGCAGATAGCGTTTTACTATTGCAACAGTGAATAAAACTAATCTAACTTTAGAGTTCTGATACTGCATACAATAGCTGTATCATTTCGATTCCAAATTGCATTTGGAGGACCATTGCGTTTGATTGAGTCAGGAACTCTGAAAGAACTCTCATTTACGTCAGAGATACAGGAAGGTACAGATAAAAGGCGCTTGCATGCCCTTGGGGCGCAAACACACTCTTATTTATTTTAAGTAGATAGTTTTGACAATTGATGATCATGATCAAATTCGTGAACATTTATTTCCGGGTTTCGTGAGAAACGTAGATGTTAACTATATCCTATACAAACTATAGATTAAGGATCTTTTTGGGCCTTATTACAATGATATCAACATAACGAAATATCTTAAGCAAAATACAATTATAGGAAAAAACACAACATGGATCATAGCCAAATTATTATTATCACCAAATTACGAAGAATTATCAATTACTTTAAAATGCTTTTTGCTTTTAGCATAAATTAAAGCGTATAATTGCTTATGGCAGACAAACTGTCTGTATCTTTACATTATCTCACCTTGGGAGACCGAGTCAAATGATTTTAAAAAGAACATCTTGATTCAATATCATTGGGTTGTTATCTAGAGAAATACGTTTCTATTTACACTGAACTAGACAAAAAATATATTGCTACCAGAAAGAGAACACACATCACAAGTCTGTAGGAATTCAGTAAATTTTTAGCCGATCTTTTTATTAACAAAGAAAATTAAAAACAAAATACTTAAGCCTTTTCTTAATAAAATAATTACTTATGCCTTAATTTTATTATGTAAGTATATATATACTGGAGCTAGGAAACGTTTCGCTTATAAACTATACTCAGTTCTATATAAACTCTCTCCATGAAGGTCCAGTAAGGACCATCCTTCACTGGTCCAGTGCATGTTACTTAATGCAGGAGGAAACCGTAACTTTACCAAGCTTATAAACCAAGAGTTGCTGCTTTTAATTGCAAAAGAAACAATATTGTTTGAATGAATTACTACAATATTTTTGAACCTTTGAGAAAACTGGCACCTAAAATTTGAAACAATTCATTCGGTTGTTAATATAAGATAGCCTATATATATATATATTTTGAATTTACATGTCAAAGAATTAAGGAAGCTAAAATTGAGCTACAAATGTTGTACATGAAGTAACTTATTTTACAGTTCTGCATTCTCTGACTAAAACGCGGACTTAAACTGTGTTGCCATTAGACTTGGAAATTATCCTGTTTTCTTGGCAGTGCGTGCTCATGGACAAATGTTAGAGAAGACAGGACTTCGTAGCCAGCCAGGTAATTACTCCGATCGATAAAATCTTTTTGAAATGTACGCGGAATTTTCGAAATATTTCAATTTGCGATAATTTGGAAATAAAAGGATATTTTGTGGGTGTGTTTCAATAATTGTATTTTGCTTTTCTGAGATAATTATTTGATTACCTTGATATAATTTTAATAAACCACAAAAAAATCTTGACCTTGCATGTTTGCACAGTAGAAATCAATACAAATGTT